GGGGGGGGGGGAGGGGGGCTGCCGCCGAAGCTGGGCTTACCAGGGCACCAAGGATGACATCCCAGACTTGTTTGGTCAACACCGAGGTGACGTCTGGGCAGGCCAGGGGCAAGTGAGATGGCTGAGGTGGCTTTTTGAGGGCAGATAATGACTTTCAAGACAACGTACTGTGATGGGAGACGGATCCGGCTTCGAGCATGGCAAAACCTAGAGGCGGAGCAAGCCGAAAGGGTGGGTGGTGAGGCGTTGGCCGTTGGCCCGGGTGATGCGCAGAGACGAGAGCTTTGAAAGCCAAGACGGGAGACTTGTGTGTGCATATATGTGTGTACCGGCTTGCAGAAAGAGAACCATGGTGCCCATGACGACGAGAAAGACGGACTCGTCGCCGCTACGGTCGCAAGTTTCCAGCCCACGCATGGTGGCGGTGAAGAAGGACTCGAGGCTCGGCGGGACCAGGCCTCACTGGTGGGTCGGCTGAAGGGCCAAGACTTGAGCAGGAATTAGAGTGGTGCAAGAAGCATAGAAACCCGCTCGTTGACCAAGCGCGCGCGGTGGTCCAGACAAGACGGGGACGAGGGGGAGGAGGGGTGAATTGAAGGTGACGGCGCAGCCAGCTGCTGCTCTGCTTTGAGCTGGGAAGCGTCAAGGCTCGTTCAAAAGATGAGGAAGAAGGAGGAGGGAGGCACGCGTATGGCGTGATTGGAGATCCAAGGGGCTCTGGTCCAAACGAGTTGAGCGCTGGACAGCTGGCTAGCTAGCTATCTATCTAGTACTCGGGGGCTGACGGTGCAGGAAAATGGCTCAACGGCGCGCGCTGCGCCGCGTGCTGTGAACCAGAAGCTAGGGGTGTGTGTGTGTGTGGAAATTAGGGTGTATAGGTGTGGGAAGAGTGTACTAGCGTGTGGAAAAGCCGTATATACGTGTGATAACATCGAATGATGTACAAGATTGATATTGGTACTTATGTGTGAAGGTATAGTGTACGGGTGTGGAAAAGACTGATCAAGCGTGTGGTAAAGTGGCTGGTGGCGTGTGATGGTGATACACGGGCGATTTCAACAACATCTGGAGATGATGAAACTGTCTGACAATTCAGAAGTGGCTGCGCAGGAAGATAATCCAGAGAGTGTGACTGAGACGAAGCGAGTTGGAGGGAGTTTGGCAGAAAAACAGAAGCAGGTGCAGAGAGAGGTGCGACGGTTCAAGTTTGGAAAGAGGCGTGATATGTGTGTGTAGAGAGAGTGAGATGCAGCGAGAGAGAGGAAAAAGTCGAGGGAGTCGAGGAAGTCGAGAGAGAGCCGAGAGAGAGTCAAGAGAGAGCGTCGAGAGCGTCGAGAGCGTCGAGAGCGTCGAGGGTCAAGAGAAAGCGTCGAGAGGGTCGAGGGGAAGGGGCACAGAGGCCTTTGAGTCGAGCAAGGGCGTGCGCACACTTCACTCTTTCTGCAAGAACAGGACCTCAGCGGCTTCATAAAGTACAGATATACCTACACAAAATGGATTACGTTTCCAACACAATATAAGCTTAATACATTGTCAGATATACATAAACCGAGAAATTAACAACACAAAGCCATGGGTGAGGAGGGTCACTTGTTGTCACACCGTGCAGAATCACGTCTTTGCACCATGGACACTTTTTAGTGCTTATGTATGACACTTGGCACACTTTGTTTCTAGTTACCTGTGCAGAGTGGTATAAGGTTCTGGAGGGCGTTTTCAGAGGGATGGAGGGCCGTTGTATGCGGGACAACGTTGTTCTGAAGCTGTTATCAGAGAACAAGCGGAGGAAATAGAAAGAAAACAGAGAGAGAAGGTTGAGAGCGAAAGTTTGAGAGAGAGAGATTTGAGTGAGAGACAGAGATGTAGAGAGAGAGAGCTTGAGAGAGTTTTTGAGAGAGAGTTTGAGAGAGAGAGGAGAGAGTGTGTGTGAGAGTTAGAGAGTTTGAGAGTTTGAGAGAGAATTTGAGAGAGAGAGAGAATTTGAGAGACATCTCAAAGTGCTGACGATACGAGCAATCCACGACCTCTGGGAGGTTTAGGGGATAAAAAGAAAAGAGGACTGTGCCTATGGGGCTTGGACTGGCTGGCACCTGAACGGTCCGGTCCGTTGAACGCCTTGGACCTCCCTTGGCCCCTTGTTGGTTGACGCCCTGAATCCCTGTGAATGGCAGCCAGCGCCGAGCCATCAGGTGGTCGGTCCATTTGACCGTGGGCTCTTAAGCAGGGCCAAGGCGTTGAAGCGCATTGTTAAGGGGTGGGTTGATGCTGGTTTGGGGGGGGAAAGTTGATGATTCCTTCTGATTGCGCATGATGACGGCCAGAGCAGTGCAGAGAGTCGAGTGCAGCGAGCACGAGCACGAGCGACCCACACAGGTCTGGCGCGTCAGCATCATGGTCGTCCTTGGAAACCACAAGGGGGACACCGACGACGACGCGGTCAGCGTCCCACCAGCGTCATCTCATGCAAAACGAGCCGCGGGTCCTATTCGCGGGCAAGGCTCGTATTGGTGTGTGTGTGTGTCGCTTTGGTACGGGCGGACGGTGGTGGATGCCGTTTCATTTTTCATGTTTTTGGACTCTGGGAGTGGTGAGTCAAGACTGGTCGTTGATGTGAGGCTGGTGCCCAGGCTGCCATTTGTCGGCCAGAGTCGGTTGCCAGTGCCTCGGCATGGGATTGTTCTTGAATCCCCATCATTTGTTCCTGAGCGCGGCTGATCGACAACCCCGGTTGCCTCTTCCGATCCTATGGCTGTCGAGTTCAGTGTCCTGAAGACATGACCTCAATTCCCTTTTGCCCTCCGCGCCCGCGCCCTCTCTCTCTCTCTCTCTCTCTTCTGTTAATCGTCGGCTGACTCTCGGATTTCGCTTGCGCTTCCCCATCCCGCATCACATCTCTGGATTTTCTCTCTGTTCTTATCAGTCTCTAACACATGTTTGATTCTAGAGCTAAATGTGTTACCCTTTTGACGGTTCTATCTCTCATCTCTCAATCTGATCAAAATCTCATCCCATCTCTTCATACTTTTTGTTCTCACACCGCTCATATCTCTCACCCTCACTACTCTCTGCTTATACCTTGACTTTACAACGCTGCATAACATCATCTCCACCCAAACCTCTGAAATTCCATCACAATGTCATTTTTTTTTCAATGGTTTGCGGTTTTTGTCCTCTCTGCTGCCACATCGTATTCGTGTGTGTGTGTGTGTGTGTGTGTGTGTGTGTGTGTGTGTGATCGCTCGGTCGCTCGGTCGCTCTGTGTGTGTGTGTGTGTGTGTGTGTGTGTGTGTCGCTCGGTCTTCGTCTTGATCTTGGTCTTTGGGGCGGATTGATCTTGGGCGCCGGTCGGTCTGTGTGCCCTCTGTGTGTGTGTGTGTGTGTGTGTGCCCCCGGGTGTGTGTCGTGTTTGCCTTTCTCTCCGTTTGTGCGCGCTCGTTTCCTCTCGGCCACGGTCGCGGTCAAGGGCTCAGCCTCATAATCCTTCTCAGTCTCTCTCTCGATCTTGGATGTTTCTTATCTGCCTGCGCGGCCAGCGCCTGGCCCGTCCAGTCTCAGATCTTCCTCTCCATACCCCGGCCCCGCCTTCCTCTCTTCTCTTTCTTCTCTCTCTGCACACTCGTGTCTTTGATGTCTTCTTTCTCTGCTCCTCTCTACACTCTGTGCTATGTCCCGCCCGTTCCCCCCTTTTTTTTTTCGATTCTTCCCCCTAACGAGCACCTGCTGCTTGCCACTTCAATGTAGATCCGGTCGACCCGTGCGCCATCGCACCAACGGAACACAAAACCTTTTTTCTCTCCCCATTCTTCGACGCTATTTGCCAGTTTAATGCTTTTCTGACCCCTCCTTCCGTCAGGTGAGCCGTAACCCCCACCTCTTGTACCGCCAGAAAGGCATTGGTCCGCTGCTGCTGTTCGAATCAAACCTCGCCCTTGGTGTCCGCGCACATGGGCACACACGCCTTGATGCTGGACTTGGACCATCTGCGTGCGCGTACGTCTTTAGCCTGAACCTCACCGCTCGTTCTCAATTCTCCATAGTACCGCAAAACGCCGGAACACGTTCAAAAGGGGCCGAGGGCGCGCTGGCACGGTCAGCATGCCATGCCCACGCCGAGCTAGGCCGTGTGCCAGGTCCTGGCAAAGAGCCGCGAGCCACAACACCTGGCTGGCCACGGGCTTGCTTTCATTGCTTCTCTCTTCAGTTGCTGTCCAAGGTTTGTCAAGGACAATTGCCCACTCTTTTGCTTACGACACGCTCTCGTGCAGAAGCCCTTTGCAAGCTGCTTTGATACAAACTTTGGAATCTCAGGTACCGAGCAACACGACGCTTCGACTCATGAAAAATAACCACTCATCCTTAGGTCTCAACTGTACCCGGGAAGATAGCGCCAACGTCTGCGGCGACCATGGATCCTGCTCAGTCAGCACCGGCTTGTGCCAATGCGATGTTGGTTACTCGGGTCCCACATGCGCCTTTCCATCTTGCCACCCGCTCGAAGCCCAACGCCCTGGGTTGAGCGTGCAACTCTTCAGCGACTACAATCTGCTGACCCCAATAGCCTTTGCCACTTGGCCTCAAATCGCCTTCGAGTGGGGATACGACAGCCCAGAACCGGCCCCCGCCAACAACTTTGGCGTGGTCGCGGCTGGCTTTCTTCGCGCGCATCAGGACGGCTTTGCGCGCTTTCAATGTCGCACTCGCAACGGCAACTGCCACCTCTTTCTCAATGGCACCCTTGTCACCTCCACCACAGACCCCATTTTTCTGGTCGCGGGACAACCCTTGCGTCTCAAGGCCGAACTTCAACACGCCAGCTACCAGGCCAATTGGTACCTTGATTGGTCGGGTCCACACCCCTCGTCAGCCGCCGCCCTGTCGGCTGAACTCGTTCCGATCCCAGCTACAAACCTGGAACACCGCGTAGCGTGCCCCAACGGCTGCAATAATCTTGGTTGCTGTGAAGCCGATCAACGCTGCGTTTGTCCTGACGGTTACACAGGTCCAAACTGTAACCTCGCCATCGACCAGCAAAACTGTGGTGATGCTTTTCCCCAGCTACCTTATACCCCAGCAGGCTTGAACATGGCCGTGTTCTCCCCTGCCAGTGGTAATGCACCCGCCATTGCCAACCTGACGAATCAAGAAGCTGCCTTTTCCTTCAGTGCTGCTCCCGCCGGAGCGAGCAGTGGATGGTCTGCCGTCCTCTACGGCCAAATCCAGATTGACACCACGGGTTGGTATACGTTTCAAATCACTCCCTCAGGTGGCCGTGCCTCTCTCGTCATTGGGCCGCATCCCGTCATCTTGCCAGCCACCAGCGCCGAGTCGAGCCCGCGATCAGTTTTCCTGACGGGTAACCGACGTTACAACATTCACATTGGCTTCAGCTCCAGCCGTACTGCTCCCACCAGTCTTCAAGTATTGTGGACAAGCCCAGACAACGCTACCCTTCATGCCATCTCGTCAGATCAGCTACTGGCCCCTACAAGTGGAACTTGGTGTGGCTACCCCGACTTTATCGACTGTAATCATGCTGGTATAAACGTCAACGGCGCTTGTGTCTGCCCAGCCTTGTATATTGGTGCCTCGTGTGAGCACTTTCGGTGCCGATCGGATGAGTGCCGTTTTACAGATGCGTGCCACGACCCAGCCTACGGTAGCCAGGACGCCGAGTGCAACGGACAGGGCCGCTGTGTGGCAGGACTGTGTGAATGCTATGACGGGTTTGTGGATCTGAGCCAATGCACGCGGACGGGCTGTGCCACGGACGAGGGGTGCTCGGGACATGGAAGCTGTGGCAGCGACGGGCAGTGCGTGTGCGAGGCCGGATACATGGGCGAGGCGTGCGAGCTGAGCGTGTGTGGGAACGAGCGGGCGATTGTGCCGGGCTTGTATGCGACGTACTATGAGGGATATGCGTTTGATGAGCGGCGGATAGGGCTGGCGGTGCCGGAGGTGGCGTTTGACCTGGGCAACGGCGGGCCGAGTCCGGACGTGTCTGTGGACGACTTTAGCGCGACGTTTGTGGGGTTTGTGCGGCCAACGACGACGGGCTGGTATCGGTTTCGGCTGCGGTGTACCAATGGGGCCTGCGGCATGTATCTGAACCAGAGCGCTTATGCGGACTCTGGCAACGGGCTTTTGCTTGTGGGCGGCGAGTCGGTGCGCGTGAAGCTGGAGTGGCAGCATACGAGCTACGGCACGACGGCGGTGTTTGAGTGGCAGGGTCCGTATGAGAGCGCTGCGGTGGCGCAGGGCGCGGACGAGTCGCTGTTTGTGGGAGTACCGTCGCATGCGCTGTTGCATGAGGTTGTGTGTACGGGGGGCTGCGGGGGGCGCGGGTGTTGCGTGGCACCGGAGACGTGTGCATGCGAGCCCGGTTATACTGGGCCTCAATGTGAGTTAGCCGAAGCGTCCTGTTCTGGGTCGACATTTGATCAAACCTTGAGCCCCGGCCTTCAGTTTCGCGCATTTGATGGCATCTTGGAAGATGCTGTCACCTCTGCTTATCCTGCTGAGGTGGGTCGTGCAGCCACCATCAATTTTGATTACGGCTATGATAGTCCAGGGCCCTCCGTTCCTGCCGACTACTTTACTGCCGTGTGGTCTGGACTGGTGAAACCACCACAATCGGGCTGGTACACCTTTCGTGTTTGGACAAGTGGCGTTGTGGCCCGCCTGTTTGTCGGAAACGTCAGGCTCATCGACTGGACGACCGGCTGGTCCCAAGCCATCCATCTTGCTCAGGATCGGTATTACCAAATCCGTTTTGACATTCAAGAAGAGACGTTCACAGCTGCAGCCCGCCTCTACTGGGAGGGGCCTGGCTTCATGGAGCATCTGGTGCCCTCCTCTGCGCTTTTTTCACGGAGCGACAACAACATGTGCAGTTGCCCTTTGAATTGTACATGGAGCAGCCAAGGCACCTGTCTCAATGGCCTTTGCAGCTGCCGTCGTGGCTTCACCGGCGACACTTGCGCGGAGCTTCGATGCCGAGCGGACGATTGTCTCTTTCATGACAACTGTTTTCATCCTGCCTTTGGGTCGGCGTACGACGAGTGTGGTGGTGAAGGCGTGTGTATCAACGGCCAGTGTCAGTGTGATGCCAACGCTGCCACAGCGAGCAATGTCAGCAGCAGTAATAGCGGCAACCCAAGCCACAATGCCTCTCTCACAACGTTTACGGACTTTCACTGCTCCGCTGCAGCCTGCCCTGGAGATAGCACGTGCGGCGCGGGCGGCACATGTGGCGCACACGGCTGTAGCTGTTCAGTCAATGCCTCTGGCAACGCTTGTCAATACGCCAGCTGCGCACACAGAGCCGGTATACGTGCTGGCGTGCGTGTGACATACTTTGATGATGTATCCATGCATGCGCCCACAGCAAGCGGGTTGCTCGCAACGACGGCCGCCGAGTGGGACCATTCGCCGTGGCCGTCAATCGGCGCTGATGGTTTTGCTGTGCAGCTTCGTGGGTTGCTTTTGTTTCCTGGTGCGGGATGGTACCGCGCCCGCTGCACTGAGTCGCAGGTGACGTGCACCTGGCAACTCGGGGATGCAGGCTCTGTGGGGCCCGTTCGCCTTGATGCCACAACTGCGAGCCGATGGGCTCCATTTCATATCAACGTTTCTCACACAACATCGGTGGCTGCTTTTGCTTGGGAGGTGGCCGGTCCCTTTGACACCGAAGCAGCTGCGGCCAACGCCTCCCGCTTTTGGCAGCCCGCCAACTGGCAACTGGGTCACGACATTACGTGTGGTGGGTGTGTGCATGGGTGCTGTCAAGCTGATGGGGTCTGCATGTGCGAGCCGGGCTGGTCTGGTGCCCTGTGCAACGAGCCACTGCCGTCGTGTGACGCCATCGAGAGTGAAACCGTTGTCACAGGCGCCATTGTGCGGTACTATACCGATCGTACCTTTAGCACTCTAGTTGCAACCGACCGCATTCTGCACCTTGAATCAAACTTTGGCTCGGAGGCACCTTATTCTGGTGTCCCCAGTGACTACTTTGGGGTGCGCTACGAAGCATTCTTCACACCGCCCCATGACGGTTGGTATCGGTTTGACTTGGTCACCAACTCCATGGAGGGTCTTTTGCGCGTGGCCGGACAGCTCGTACTTCCAATTTCCTCTGGATGGAGTGCCAGCGTGTACCTCGCAGGACAAGTGCCTGCACCGTTATTGCTGGAAATTTACAAGACGACCCAATACAGTTGCAGTTTCCAAGTTACGGTGCAAGGAGAGAACAGTTACAGTCAATTCCTGGATGGAACAAATCTGTTGTACTACCCCGGAGCTTGCGGCTGCTTGCCGTGCGACCTCGCTGTTGTCAATGACCATGCACCTGTCTTCAGCTCAGCGTCCATGGCCGTTCTCGTGGTTCGTGAGCATGAAGTCGGCTCCCATCGCTGGCTGGAGGCCACTGATCCTGACACAGGAGATGGGTTTGGTCTTCAATATATCCTCGTCGACGATCCCTCGGGCTGTTTCAGTCTGGACGAGACGACGGGACAGCTCAGTCTGTTGTGCGCCCTCAGCAAGGCCACCCACCCCGAGGGCTTTGTCCTGGAGGTTGCTGTGGCGGACTCGGGGTCTCCTGCTCGCAATGTGACTGGTCTTCTTGCCGTGGTGATCGAGTGTGCTTTGGGGTTTACCGGCGACGCTTGCTCAAGCTGTGCTGCGGGCTACGGCGGCTCTACTTGCAAACCCTGCGTTCCTTGCTCAGCGCGTGGCGTCTGTGGAGAAGGCGGCAGCTGTGTGTGTGTAAACAACACATTTGCGGGAGCTGCTTGCGACGAATGCGTCGATCGTCATTATGGGGAGGACTGCTTGCCCTTGCCATGGGTTGCTAGCCTCTCACCTCCAGTCGGCCTAGATTACGGTGGCACCAGAGTGGTGCTGATGGTACACAACATGCCGGCCGAGCGCAGTCAAGTTGTGTGTAAGTTTGGCACGCTGACAAGCACAGCCGCCGTTCTCGACGATGAGCACGTTGCTTGCCAGACACCCCGGCAAGAACCGGCCTCAGTTCAAGTGCGAGTGTCCTTTGACGGCGGAGAAACCTTTGTTGGCCCTGCTACGGGTCTGGCTTTTACCTACGTTGGAGATTGTCCTCAAACGGACTGCCCTCCATCGCGGGCCTACTGCGTCTTTGGCGAGTGCTACTGCCGGCTGCAGTACTTTGGAGATCGGTGTGCTCAGGAGTATGTGCGCCCCGTGATTCGACCCATACCTTCGGGCACTTTGTTGCCCGGCGATCGTTTCTCCCAGCGTTTGGAACTGCAAGCCGGAAACGGAGAGATCCACTGGGTCTTGATGGACGGCCCAAACGGCGCCTTTATTGACGGGAATACAGTTGTCTGGCCAGTTGCCACGAGTGCTTCGGAGCCGCACGAGTTTCTGGTGCAGGCGCGCAACTCTTTTGCAGCCGGTGTTGCAGCCTGGGATGTGGAGGTACCGTTTCCCTACACGACGAGCATTTTGTCGACGGGGGGTGCGGGTATTCGGGGAGCACCAGTCCAAATTGTGTTAGCGGGGGTGGTGTCCAAAACTCATCCTAGAGTGTCCCTGGGTAGTCTAAATGACCTTGGCGTTCGAATCTGGTAAGTGAACACAGATGTGATGCCAGGGTCTCTTCAGACTTCTTTCCCACGCAGCGCGCTAACGACTCCTTGACGGTCACAATGCCTTTTCCATATCTAGGGTGCAGCAACTAAGCGGTCCTGCAGTGCGTCGTCGCCGTCGAAGCGTTTCACAAGCCTCCGTTTTAACGGCAAAGACAAACTCGACCGGTCACTTTTCCGTGCAGCTCAGCTTGTCCAACATCGGGGCTTATTCCCTTGGCGTTTCGCATCCCAATGCCACATCGCCAGAGGACTCGACTGTGGTTGAGGTGGCAGGCTTGGAAAGCTCGCTGTCAGCCGTGCAATTGTCACTCGATTCCGGCTTCAATGGCTCACTGTTTTTGGCACGCATCACAAATCCTTCTTCTGTGGCCATTGATCAGCTTCACGTAGCCCTAGCGGGTTTGTACGGTGCCAGCATCCCTCAAGGCATACGTCTCACCGCTTCCGTACATGAGGAATCTTTAATGGCTGGGTCTTTTACCGACTTGAGTTTGCATGTTTCGTCGGCGCCAACCTTTGCAGGCACCCTCGTGCTGGGTGTGCGGGTCACTGAGGCCAAGTATGGTGTGTTTGTTCCAGTAACGGTGGTGGTGACCTTTACCCCGCCCCGCGCCCAGCTTGAAATATCGACGACTTATATGGCTGTCACAGCCGTGAGAAATGTGTCAACGAGCCGCGTCGTCACTCTTCGAAACGTCGGAAGTACGAGCACGCCCCCACTAGTGGTGGTATTGCCCGAAGGCCACTCGCTGCTCTCCACCACGACGGCCACCATCCCCAGCCTCGCGGCAAATACGAGTCTGCAAATTGGTCTGGTGTTCACGCCGCAGGCGGATGCCACCCTCCAACGCGACACGGCCACCGTGGTCGTGCGATCCGCCGCCACAAGCACATTCCTGAACTCTGTTCAAGTACAGATCGACTACGTGGTAGCCAGCACTGCGACCTTTGACGTCGCCATCGTCGTGGAGGATGAGTATACATTTTTTGCAGAAGGTGCGCCAAACGTGTCAGATGCAGTGGTGCGCCTGGTGGGGCAAAGTCGAGCCTTCAGTCGAGTGCTGACGACCGGTCCCAATGGCACCGTCATATTTCGCAATGTGCCCGAGGGCACGTATCAAGTCAGCGCGCAAGCCTTGGGTCATGACGTTGACTCTGCTGTGATTCGTGTCAACGACAATTTGGGGTTGACACCTTTGTTTTTAGCTCGCAAGACCGTCAGCTACATCTGGTCAGTCAGCCCGACTCAGATTGACGACGAGTATAGCTTCACGCTTGAAGCCGTCTTTGAGACGCGCGTTCCCGTGCCTGTGGTGACCATCGACCCCATTTTCGTGGACGTGGACCGCTTGGCATATGGAGACATTGAGCAGATTGACTTTATCATTACCAACCACGGTCTGATTGCAGCCGACGAGCCTCGCCTATCCTTGCCAAGCGTGCATCCAAACGTGCAGCTTATACCCCTCTACGAGCCCGTGAATCGCCTACCAGCGCAGACCACCATCATCTACTCCTACGAGGTGATTGTATCAGATGGCAACGCCAGCACGGCCCGCATGCGACGAGCTGACAACGATGACGATGAAAGCGATGACCGAGTGGCTAGCTTCGCAGATGGCGACAACGGCCTCTACGATGATGATGACAATACCACCATCTCCAATCCCTCTGATGACGACGACGGCAATGGTGGTGGTGGCAGCAACGATGACGACGGGCCTGGCGGTAACGGGGGAAATAATGGCGGTGACAATGGCGGTGACAACGGAGGGAACGACGGGGGCGGCGGTGGCTCAGGTGGCCCCGGTGAAGAGGACCGATTCATCTGTGGTGGAAGAGCTGGCCTCTTCACTTACTCCTTTCAATGTCGTGGCACGGAAACTCGAGGCACGACCATCGAGCTTCGGCAGGGCAGAGTCGGCAGCGTTCGCCCAAGCTTTTGTGGAGGAGCTCGATCCGTGGCTCGTACCGCTGGGAACGGCGGCGGCCGGGTCACTGGTGTAGGTAATACGATTGGGGGCGGCTGTGGCGACTTTTGCTCAATGGGCGACGTTGTGGCCAACTGTATGGGCAATACATGCCTCGGATCTGCAGCGGCTGCGGCGCTGAGTTTAAAGTGCCAAAATGCCAAGGACATGGCCAAGCGCATCCCACGTGCCTTGATTGACTGCCTCATTGGTGGCTGCCCGGGTGCTCTTCTCAACGTTCCATTCTGTGATGCCAACGCTCTTGGCATTATTCAATGCGCCGGCAATATTGTCCTTGGTTGTACCGGCCCCTATGGTCGTTGTAAGTCAACTCGCTGCCACAAAGTTAAGTAGAGAGATATTGGAGACAGGGGAGAGCATGCAAAAAGAGGAAATTTGAGGGCGGGGAATTGTGCCGGCCGTTTACCAAGGGCTTTTGGGCAAGAAAGAGGGTGGGACATTGATTGCATATTTTAGCTAACCATCAGGTGCTGCATCGCATGTAGTGGCGGAGGCTGCTTTTGCTGGAGCCATTTGCATGGCAACCATTGGCTCAACAATCAGTGCTGGAGGCTTGCGTCGGCGTCGTGACATGACGCCATCATTTTGGGAGGTGGTGCGTCGAGATGCGGACGAAGATCTTGCGGCTGAGACAGCTTACCAGGCTGCTCAGTGGTTGGAGAACTACGCGCTCTTCCTGCATGCCGTCTTTGGCGCCGGCAACGACACATTGGCCTTCAGCTACGACCCATCATTTCAAGCGACACACTTTATGCCTGCCTTGGCAGAGAGTGGAGACATGGGGGCTCTTGTGTCTGAAAGCGAGCTTCAAAGCCTGATGACGGCCCTGCCAGCTGATGTGAATGCTAGCAAGGCGCGCGCATGGTATGAGAAGTACAACGCTACCGCAGCTGCCTGGATTGCTGGGAGTCTTGACATTGCAGAGGAGTCGCTTTTCAATCTCACGGAGATTGAACATCGGTTTGAGCAGTTGCGAAGCGACTCATCATCGGCGCGCATGCTGGGGTACCCTGATATTCTAAGCGCATATCACGGCGCGGTCGAGTCGTTTCGAGTGGCGCGAGACGCGGCGGCGCGTAAAGCTGGCGTCTGTGCCAAGGTCACCATCATGATTGAGCAGGAGCTGGTTCTGACCCGCTCGGCGTTTGAAGCTCGCCTTCAAATTTCCAATGAAGATGCTGAACCTTTGACGAACATTAGCGTGCAGTTTGTGATCACGCATGTTGCCACCGGTGCTGTGGCACTGCACGTCTTTGAGATTGGCAACGTCAGCTACCTGGGTGATTTGCAACCCATGGCTGGGCAAGGGGCAGACTTGCCAAGCACTGGCGTAGGCACTGCCACGTGGCTGATGATTCCCAATCGGCTGGCTGCGCCCTCGCCCTCCATGGAGGAGTATTACGTCGGTGGGATGTTGTATTACACGATTAATGGCATTCGGGTCGAGGTGGAACTTTTTCCTGACACGATCGTGGTGCAGCCTGATCCTCGGATGACGGTGCATTACTTTTTGCAGGAGTACGTTGTCTCTGACGATCCTTTCACTGACGTGAAGGAAGCAGCCCAGCCGGCGACCTTGGCCGTTGTGGTGCACAACCACGGCAACGGCACCGCTATAGGACTATCGGTGTCCTCCCAGCAGCCTCAGATCACGGAGAATGAAAAAGGCTTACTTGTCGGGTTTGAGCTTCAGAGCACAAGCTTGAATGGTGTGCCTGTCACCCCGCCGCAACTCGAGGACGTGGACGTGGGCAGTTTGGCGCCCGATACTAGCAAGGTCGTGGCATGGGAGGTCATGACCACACTTCAGGGTCGCTTTACCAAATTCGAGGTTGACATGAAGTACAGCAACGTGCTTGGCAAGCCCGAGCTGGCTCTCGTCGAGTCTGTGAGCGCGTACAAACTGTTGCACATGGCTGCGGTCAGCAGCGGCTTTGATTTTGTGGTCCGCTCGCCGAGCATCAGTGGTCTGTTTTGCCTCATTCACAGCTGGGAGCCACGTTCCGTCATCCCATTGGCCAATCCCACGGGCGAGGTGGAGATGGTTTTTAACGCCTCGTCGCGCGTGGGTACCTTTGCATCACAGACCCTTGTCACGGGCCCCCGCTTGACCCAGGTTGTGCTGCCGGGTCGATTCAAGGCCACCCGCGTGTCGCGCAGCGTTGATGGAACACGTGTCGATTTGCCCGTCTCGAGCTTCTGGGTTATTCATGTGACGGATCACTTTCAGCGGCGTCGCCGCAACGATGCCGGCGTGACCACGAGTACACTGTATGTGGTGGACTCGGACAACAATCTCTCGCCGCGAGTCTTTGATTACGAGGCCCAGCTGGCGCCCGACCCGGTGGAAATTGCTAGTAATGCAACCTCGACCACCTCAAATCCAACAACCACATCGAGTGACGGATCAAGCGTTTCGCCATCTGCTTCAAGCACGATCAACTCGATGACAACTCTGCGTGATGGTACAATTCAGCAGCCTGACTCAACTTTGTTCCCCAATCCATCATCAACAAAGGCTGGTGGTGCCGGCGCCGATCAGAGTGGGGGTGGTGGAGGCGGCAGTAGCGTAGGCATTGCTGTTGGAGTTGTCATCGTCATTGTGGTTCTTGTGGTGATTGTAGTCGTGTACATTCGCCATCGTCGCGCGAGTGCCCACACAGTGTTGGAGAAACCGCAAGCGAGCAAACACACAAGCTATGCAAACCCCACCTACGCTACAGCTGGTTTGGACGTAGCCGAGGATGACGATGCAAACTCCTCATACATTTAAAACGCCACGGAAAAGCCGCTTGGCGCACCACATTGTGACTCCTTTGCAACGCTAGCGACGGACCTCCAAATGGATTCATGTACATACTTGTACCCGATTGTGTTGTGCTTCCTCTTCACATGCATGAGCAAATTCTTTTGTTTAACGCGGAAATTTACGCAAAATTGTGCCTTGCATACCAATCCAGCTCTCTCAACTTGTAAATTGAAAATAGCCATCGACAGGGCCACACCATCAAGGGGAAATATAACTAAGTCTTGGTCAACCGACTGGGGCGGGTTGCTCTGCTTTGAAATCAAAAGGGGTCTGCACAGCTGCTTGCAGGGTGGAACAGTGCCCTCAAGCAACTAGATTGTCATAGCAGTACACATTGACTGAAGCCGAGAGGGCGTAGTTGTGTAATGTATTGTACCAGGTGAGAGTGGGGGCCACACCGTCTTCGGGGCCAGCGACTCCCCAATCCTCATCGGGACCATTCTATCCGCAGAAAAAAAAAAGTGAGTACAATAGGCACATGACACACTGTCTGCACTCGTTCCAACTTGAATGAACCGTACCTGAGCTGCTTCCACCAAGAAAGAATCACAGTTGGTGCCCTGGGGTAGACTGCCACCACAGTCAGCGGCTGTAAACGTGTCTAAGGTCGGCCAGATGTCGTGTTCAGGCTTGAGATTCCGAGCTAGCAAAAGTTAACATAAATGTAGAGACAAGGCGTTGCTCTTACAGGATTTGCTGTTTGATGACTCCGTGCGTGGAAGGTTGGTGACCCTGCAGTTTACACGCTCCCACGGGGGCGACTTCTTGTAGCAATAGTAGAGTGCCGAAACGTCGGGCGGGTTAGATGATGAGCCACCTGTGTACCAAGAGACTCTGGGTTGATTGTTGCCTGAGGTGGCGGGAGTAAAGACCTAATTTGGAAACATTATTGAGGGTTTGAGCATGATGCAGGGCAAGCTATCGGGCGCGGTACCATACTTGAAAGTCTTGATCTGAGCCAGATTGACTTGCTCTGACCAAAAAGCCGTCACAGTCGCCGGTCGGGTAGACGCCGCGGCAATCGCTTGCGGTGAAAGTGTAGTCATGGGTGTCACTTGAAGAGTCGTAGCCAGCTGGGACATGACAAAGCGTGCGTGTAAAGTACTCGTTCTCGAGACGATTGGCCACGCCGTAGGCCGTTGCTGGCGCTGGTACGTTGTTGTAGCAATAGAAGATGACTGGGTTCCAGAGGAGAAAGGGTCAGACACGGCGAGTTAGGAGGAGGGAGCGATGACCAGGGGACGCAATAGTTTGCGTTGTGAACCATGCGCAAGCATCTGCTTTGCCATACCTTCAATCGATGGTGCACCGCAAGCCGAGCCCACCCACCACTGTGCGCACGAGGTTTTGTGGAAAACGGAAAGCAATGATCATGAGAAAGGCGAGGAAAATGTTGGCAAAGGTAAAGTTGCTTGATACCAGGAACTAGGGGTCGGAGGCGGATCCGTGACTTACTACCATCGATGGACCTGCTGTCGGCGTTGGTCTGTGGCAGGGGGAAGGCGGGTCAGGCAGGCAGTTGATCAGCCCGACAAGGAGGACGGGGGAGTCAGGTGGCAAGCAAATGGGGCGAGGCGCGAAAACACACAGATTAATTCGGAAATCCTCGTCCGAGCCGCAATGTTTGTTGCGCTTCATCATGCCATCGCAATCACCCATGGGCAAAACCCCTCCACAGTCATAGGGTGTAAATGTGTACGACATGGTGCCTGTTTGTGTGATTTCATTCCATTCCGGGACTTGGCACCGATGGCGCGTGAATGGGGCGGTGCTCGCATCAGCCTCTCTGCGCTTCAAGATAACGCAGTCGTCTGTATCGGCGTTGTAGCTGCGATGACAACACGGCATGGATGAGGCTGGGCAGGTCTCTGTCAAAGACGGAAATTTGTGGAGCGTGGGGAGCAGCAGCGAGCAGCTTGGCGGGCAACGCACATGCCGTCGCTGCGCGCACATTGGGCCATGCGATCGGTGGTGGCATTCTAGCGGGCATAGGAAAGTTGAGGAAAGGAGGAGGAATGGGCGTGAGCTCCGGAGAGAGCGACATTCAAAGTTCAACGTGCAACAAGTCGGGAGGGACCGAGGGAGAAGGCAAAAAAAAAAAAAAAAAAAAAAAAGCAGGAACGAACAAGGGCGTGAATATCTGCGTTGACGGCATCGAGGCGATTGGACAGGGTCTGATTGGTCATGGCAGCGGAGTGGACAAGGGCTTCCAGCGAGGTGTTGAGGGCATCAACGGAACTGGCCAGCTGGCCATTGACGGCTGAATTGGCAAGGGAGGAGGCGTTGACCTCTTGAAGGTCGGCCATGATGGCCTCGAGCCGAAGGTTGCGTTCCTCGGCGGTCTCCTCGGCCCGCTTTAGCGACGCGTTGACAGCGTCAAGACGATCGGACAGAGCCTGGCTGGTCGTGCCGGCGGAGTGCACCAGGGCTTCTAGGGAGGCGTTGAGGGCATCAACGGAACTGGCCAATTGGCCATTGACGGCTGAATTGGCAAGAGCGGAGGCGTTGACCTTTTGAAGGTCGGCCCTAGTGGCCTCTAGCCGAAGGTTGCTTTCCTCGGCGACTTGCTCGGCCCGTTTCAGCGAAGCGTTGACGGCATCGATGCGTTCGTGAGCCGCTTCGGCCTGTGGACCAGTCGCACAAAAGGTGAGGAAGGAATCGGGCAGTATTTGGGGGATCGGAAAGGGAACAAGGGCATTTTGTTCTTCTTCAGGAATACAAATTAAGAAGGAGAGGAGGCTGGAATGGGGGTGGGGGAGGCGGATGGGAGGAAAGTGGAACCTGAGCATCGGCATGACCAATGGTGTAGTCGCCATTGGGAGTGGTGACGGTCACGGCATCGGCCTCAATGATCATGGCTCCATCGTTCGTGGTGATGCCTGGTTCACCAGTGGCAGCGACGACGGTGACCCCGACCACCAGAAGCCACAGCAGGCTTGCTCGTGCCATCTCTACTGCCAAATTTCAAGGACCAGCCGGAGCAAAAGGAACCCCAGGCGTCGTGAGTCAGCAGAACGAGAGCGCGCGCACGGCACGTGAGTTCCAACGTCGAAGCGCGCCACTCACCGGATCGCACGACACCACACGA